CCATTTCAACAGACTTGTGAGAAACAAGGTAATACAAGAACTTCCAACTTAATGTCAATGCAGAAATTAAGTAGGTAGGCTCAATGCTACTGTTGTGTAAATAGTTAACAATATAGTAGTGTTTTACCGGTTGCATAGTATTGCCCAGCATGGAAGAAAGCTGGTAATTTTGGGGTTTGATCTGTGTAAAGATACTGTGCTTGTAGAAGTTCTTCTGATACTCTGCTATTTATTCAGAATAGAGACAACAGAGGCTTTATTTTTACCTCTAGATTACCATACTTACCCAAATTATAAGGCACTCTTCCTTTTTTTTTATTTTTCTGAAAGAAAATAGGGCTTCCACTCAGCATGTATTTTAAAAGGACAATATAGCCTCAAAGTCCACTAACGTCCTTTTCCAGAACCATTCCTCATTTTTCTTTCTTTTACTTGTTAACACCCACTGGGCTAAGGACTGCTTTGCAAGATACAGTGTAATTGCACTCAGCTTTGGACTTGAGAAGGTTTAATGGATGATGGCTTTCATGTCCCATGTGAGGCTCAGCTGTAGCAGGAAGACTGGGCTGGCTACAGAGCGCTGAGATATCTGCAACTTCACATCCCTCTTGTTGGTCCTGGAGCTCCTACCCCAGTGTGTGTGGCTGGTACAGAATATCGTTGCTCAGCTTGTACCCAGCCATTGTAGGTAAATGAACCCTCAGTCTCCTCTTGTAGAGGAGAGAATGACACAATACCTCTTCTCAACATATAGTCCAGGGACATAAAGGGGACAATTTCTATTATTTTTCTTAAAATTCAGTTTGAGGAAGGGATTAATAGCTTAGCCTCACTTTTTTTCAATGCAATGTTGTAACACATGTATTTATTTTCTTGTGCTGGAGGAATAACATCTCAAACATAAAAGGTAATATCTATGCCACTTTGCACCAACTGTCTCTGCAAAACGATGTACTGTTGAAAGTACCTGGCATCACTTAGCGGAGAAGAATGAACTTTGTTTCTTGAGATCACGGAGGCTTACATCTGTGGCAGCCTGAGTTTTAGATCTTAGTTTTGTAAAAGTGGAGAGGCTGCTCATGTGGGACAGTGGCTGTGGGAAAAAAAAAATGTTGTTAAAACAGCTGAAGCTGGGTGTTTGTGTGAAATTCAACTTTTTCAGGCTTTTTCAGTTCTAAACCGTAACACAAGGTGGCAGTCTATGTCATCACTAGTAATTTCTGTATCAGTGATCTCAACAAATTGAGGCATGGGGTGGAAAAACTAGTTGATGTCACATTGTCAAATATTGGTGAAGATCCCAGCTTCTCTAGAGTAGGAACACTTGGAAAGTACTGAGTTTTTTAATGGTGCTAGAAAACTCATAGTGTTTGTTTTCACTAGTAAATGGGGAAGAAAGCCAGCTTTATTCTCTACTAACAAAGCTGTTCAAAGTGATACATGTATGACATGCTTCTCTTTATTTTGAAGTCCTGGGCTAAGAGAACAGAAGTTGTCCTTCTGCGTTTCAGGAATATATGGATGTGTTTGTAATATCCTTCAAAGATACTTGCCTGATGCTCCATCCTGGTGTATCAATACAACTGACATGATTCCATGCACTACACAGAAAGCATGAAGAATGAGTCTGCATGGATCTGCTGTTGTTACACCTTGATGAGAACTTAACGGCAAGGAGCCAGGGGATTTGAAAGTATTGGCTTCAATTCTACCACTTTTGTGGCCTTGGGGAAATGACTTAGTTACTGTTACTCCATTCACTGAATGGTTTTATTGAGGCTTTGCTGAATTATGAGCAAGTTTCTTAATGCCTAAATTTGAAGTCTGTTTAGGTGCAACGCTATAACCTCCTGTTGGAAGCACAAATGTTCTGCACTAGTATTTGTGTAGCTCAGATGCATTCAATCCAGATAAAATGTGTTCAAAGGTAACTTCGAGTAGAGGAGACCTCCATCATGACTGAGTAAATCGGAGCTTTCGTGAGAGTTGGAAGAGAGAAAAATTCCACCTTTGAGAGGGGGCTACTTTGATAACTGTAGTGTAACTTGTTCTCCTATTTCTTACTCATCTTAACCTGTCTGAAAGATGAATACCTGAGCTCTGGAGGTGATTGGTGGCATATCTATTTTAGGCCTGTCTGCTGATATCAGTGCTGCTGAATCTGAGGGTGTGATACTTTTTTTTTTTTCAGGCATTTTCTCAATGGAAGAGGGCATAATTGCACGATTTTTTTTGTATCTTGAACAGTGTTGATACTGGATGCTCTAAGAGAGCTCTTACTTGGGGATGTCTCATCTCTGCTTGGCATTCAGTATTGCTGCTTTCTGAGGTAATGTGACCAAGAGTTCAAAAGTCTTCAGCACACTTTTTTGCTGTGGCATCATTGATACTTAAAACTATGTAGCTGAGGTTCAGCGTGCTGGCAACACAGATCTTGCCATAGTCTGAGAAGAAGATTGATGTGTTAAAAATTAAAGCATATAGTAACTGTTGAGTACGTAGGCGTTTGGTGTGCTTGTTGCTGCTCAGAAAGGCTTTGCAAGTTGCTTTCTGTTTCAGTGGAAGGTTAGCTCAACTTACTGTGTGTGGATCCTGTTGTATCATGATGGAGAAATTAATGCTTAATGTTTATTGGGGTAAATGTTTACACTAACACTCACGATTTCAAACGTCTCCCAGTACAAATGAACTATGAAGCTATTTAGAACTATTCTTAAAAAACCTCTGCTTGCTGTGTTGTAAGATACATGTGAGCAAGATTAGGTGTGTAGTATCTTTGTTGTCTTTGGCTCTTCCTCTGTATTTCAATCTCCAGGAAATCTGAAGACTGAAACTTTTGGTAGGGGAATTCTCTGAAGTGAAGTCACAGAAGGGTTGGTTTGGAATATCTCCCTTCCTCTTCCTGTCCATCAAAAAGAACTTTTTCAAAAAAATTCCAGTTTTCCAAATTTTAAATGCATTCAATGCCAACAATTTGTCTGTCCTCTGTTATCCCATTTGTCATTAACTGAAAATGTTAAATAATCATAAAAATGTTGTATCTTGTACTGCCGCTACAGGCAGCTGATGTTAGTGAACTGTCATTTAAAGGAGGATGTTTTTCTCTTATCTTCTGTTTTCCCCACTGAACAAAATACCAAACCTTTGGGCCTCATTTCTATTCTTCACGGGTCTGTGTGTTTAGTTTCAGCTTTGCTGCTGCTTTTAGCTGTACAGTTGGGCCTCTCCCAGCTCAGTGCTTAGAGATGTGGAAGAAACTACCTATTGGTGCACTCTGGAGCTACAGAAGCTGTTGAAAAACATGCCAGGTAAACCTATGTTTTCCTGTAACTGTACTCTTGGATTTTTACTTGTTTGCCTATAAAGATTATAGGTACAAATGGGATTTTAAAGTGGGCAGTGTCCAGTTTCTCTCTGTGGAAGACATGAAACAAAAGGGGAAAGTTATATCTTGATTGTATTTTCTCCGATATGTTTTTCTCAGTGATTTTTTTTTTTTTTTTTTAAACCTCTAGTAGTTTGAATGTTTTGGTTTAGGATGTCTTGAAGCATGTTTTCACACTTCAGTCACAGGTCAATAGCCTTTAACATTGCTGTTTCATCAGGTATTATTTAATCAGAAATACGTAGTTTTATTGTGTTGTTAGCAGCTCTTTAGGCAAAGTTGCCAGGAGAGGGGACTGGATGTAGTCTGGATGTTTGTTTAAACTAAATTTTCCTTCCAGTACTTCTGTGTTGTCCACAGATCTGTATAGATATGATGTGTCAAGAGGGGTCTGCTGGGTAGTTCTTTTCTGGAAATCACCTGAAGACCAAACCTCTGCAAGTGAAGAGCGTGTCGACTCTTAACGTCCATTTTCTTCATCAGTTTTTCTGGAAGCTGAACAGAAAAGTAAAACCAACATCACTTTGACAATGCTCTAATACCCACAAGCTGAAAACTTCAGATTTGTTGACTGGCAAGGAACATATGAGAAGGTAATCTTTCTTCTGCAAATAATACTTATATCCAGCTTGCCATCTATGAAGAGAGGAGGCACTGAGCAGATGTAACTGTGAAGAAAAAGTGGTGCCTAGTATTAAATGGAAGAATAAATAAAAATCTATACTGATGTACTCACAAAGGATTATGTCACTTATATTGCATAAACCAGCATGCATTCCACACCAAGTACGTCACTCAGCCAGCCTATACGAGTTTGATTTTTCTGAGGGAAAGATGTCTAGGCTTGTTTTCCCATTCTGGTTTCCTTTAAACAGGCTCTTGACTCAAATCCAGTTAGTACAGTGGTTTGCGCTGACGTTTGGGGGCTTTTTTTGCATGCAAGCAGCATGATGTTGTTTTGCTTGTGACAGAAACACAAGATTTGAATCCAGGGTCTGGAGTGGAAAAGTTGGGATGCTGAACTCATCAGACCAGATGACTGTATTGCCGCCTGCTGTTGCTTCAACAGACTTCATGCTGCTGCCAACCACTTGTCTGCATCAGATCATGGCAGAGTGGTTCCATATTAATTGGAAATGCATAATCAGCAAAACCTTCTTCCAAAAGGGAAAAAAGCAGGAATCGAGTCACTCGAAGTCAGATATTTGAACATGTATACCTTGTCTCATGCACCCTGTCTTCAAGACCTTGTACAAGTTTTTGATCTATTGCTTAACCTCTAAATAGATTCTAGTGTTGATAAGGGCAGTTAAGTTGAGGTTTTCAGGTTTTTTTGGTTGGTTTGTTTTCTATGAAGTTGAGGGCAAATTAGAAGTAGCTGGTTTGTGAGAGGTCCTCTTGGACCATTTTAACAGACAGGGAAAGACAAGTTTTAAGTAACATTACATCAGCCTCTTCACTTACATATGTGGATTATATCGGGGTATGAGCTCTTTGCTCTAGTGAGTAAATTCTCAAGGTTGGAAGCAGGACCATAGTTATGTAGTCTTGCTGACTGTGAAAGATGTGATTGCTAGAACTGTGTTTTGAACGTGGCAGGGGAAGAGAGAGTGCCCTAATACGCTAGTATCTAACATAGCCACAATACTTTATCTTTTCATGCAAGGTCATCTCTTGGATTTCTTAATTGTGTACACTCTTACTTTCTATAACAGTCTGCAGATTAAGTCTTTGTCTTCTAGTTAACAAGTAAACAAACATTTCCATTTGAAAAGAGTAATGAAAATGCAGTTTGCTACTATTTATCTTACATGGGGCTTCTACTTCCTTTCTGTGCCATCAGTCTGTCTTACAAGCTTTAAAAGGTAATGTCTCTTTCCTTCCTAGACTGAGAGTGTATGTCTGAAAAGTCCATTTAAAGAATTAATGAACCTTTTCAGTAATGTAACTGTGGTGCATGTCACTTGCCCAAGCCATTTTGTGGTCTGTAGTGAAATTGTTTCAGTCAGTCATTCTTCCCAGCTGCCTCTGAGCCTTTGTGTCATTTACATTGCTCATACTTTACATATTTCACCAGGTGGGGAAACTTTCTGAACGTTGTCTTGCAGAAAATCCTATCCTTTCTGTAGCATGGGTTATGCTCTTTGAGTCAAGACACATGACATTGTGTATTGACTGTTCTTTTTTTATTGGGAAAAAAAACCAACAACCTGGGGCTGCCTGTGGTCTTCAAGCGCGATTCTGAGAGGAGCTGGCATAATGTCGGTGAAGACAAACTGAGTGGGTAAGAACAGAATTGTAAAACAAAAGACTTAAGTCTGTTATGTGATGTGCTACTCCTCATTCATACTTATTCATGTTGTTTAACACCTAGCAAAGCAGTTCATCGAGCAACCTGCCAGAGAAAGTCATAAGTACATCGCTCGAATAGTTCGTACTGTGTTTTGCTGCTTTGTAAAGTGGTACAAAAACGTAATTGGTAGCTGAGCGCTGGTGAAGGAGTTATGTAAATGCGCATGTAAAGTCATGAGACGTTTCAGATGTTTCTGAAATTCACTGCTGAGCTGGGGACGTAATGCTAGATAGTGAGGTGGATAAGTAGAAATGCAAGAATTAAGCAGGTCAGTGTACTGATAATGCAGTGGGAGAAATAACAGTCTTGCCACATCAGAACTGTTACTCTCTTCCAAAATATTTCTTCATTACAGTTCATTCAAAGACCACCAGTTGTACCCATCTTAACAACTGGTCAATCCAAACTGGTCACAGCTGAGTTATGGGAGAGACTTGGCATGTTCTCATGTGGTCCGAACTTTCAATCTCTTACTTTTGTCAGCGTTAGCCAGTATAGCCTGATTGTTTTTGCCAGTCTTCATGCAGATGGCTTTTTTGGACACTAATCTACACTTGTGCAATAGGAGTGTCATCTCTACATGCCTTGGAACATCTTAGCCGTAGGAGTTGGGGCTTGAATGGATTAGGCATTGGCAGAGATGTAGGTTTTGGCAATGCCTTGAACTAGGACATGATGATCTGTGTCATGCATGCAAGTAGACTAAACATGGAAGAAAAGTCTTAAAATGTTGAAGTCATTACCCATACAAAGGTATGTTTGTCCTTGGGTTGGAATCCTTTAAATGATGTGGTGTAGGGACAGACAAGGTCTGGCATGACTTGCTGCCAGTTCCCTTTTCTCCTACCAGCAATATGTCAGCATGACATGGAATGATGTTGTGGGAGAAGCATTTATTAAAAACAACTGAAACCCAAATACAGTTTTAGATCACAATCTCCAGGCTGGCTGGTTGTGCTTATTGCCCAGTTTTGGTTTGGTTTATTTTAAAAAAAAAAAAAAAAAAAAAAAAAGCCCACCAAAAAAACACGTGTGTATTTAAACTGGGAGATTATCACCTATACTCTGGATGTGGTTTTGATGCCAATGGACCCTTTGCAATGTTTAGCCGTTGGCAACTTAAGCAATCTTGAATGTTGCTGTAACACAGAATCACCCAAACAAAAGTGGCCCAATGAGGAAACAGCGCAGCTGGTTGAGAAATTGTGGAAGTGATAGTGTTTTGAAATGACTGGGAGGAAAAAAAAACCCCAATACAAAACCTAATTCTTTTTGGGTATAGCCTGGAATGCATTCTGTGTGTTAGATTACAGGAGATAATGCAACATAAGTATGAAAAACAAGCAATGTTAATTCAGTTATGTGTGTAAATATGGATGCCCTGTTTTAATGTGTAACAGTCTAAAATGGTATGGGTCTTAAAGGTAACATGGTTTTAAATGTGTAAGGCTTAAATGTTGCAGAGAGATAACTTCTTAAAATCCTACTTCCTCTTTAATTTTTGGGGTTTGATTATGGTAACATTTTTATAGGCCTAAACTTCATAAGATGTGTGATTTCATGGCCGTGCTGAGCAAGTGGTGTGCTCTGCACAACTTCAGTCATTGTCTTGTATGATAACCCAAATTAGGTAGCTGTGGGTAAATGAAGAAGGGAAAAAGAGCTATTTTAGGTACTTTTTTTAAAAAGGGGTTTTTTTCCTTCATCCTAATGCCTTTAGCAATTCAGTTTTGCATTCTAACTTGATTTGTAAAGCATGTAAAAGATTATTTTAAATCTTTAGTGCAAGCTTTTCTGTCTTACAGCTCATTGGAAATGTGTTTACTTTCTTTTCATAAAGGACTCTGATCTAATCCACTTAATTTCTTAAGCAGTTTTTGCCTTAACCTGCTGACAGTATTTCTGGTTTAATGTTACCCATGCAATTCAGTAGCTCATCACTGCACTGAGAATTGGTCTTCCCTCAGGAGGATTATTAATGAATATCTGAACTGTGGTAAAGATGTCTCCAAGCTGACACTGGTGTTCCACACTGGTGTACGACTGGAATAGATGAGGCAGGAAAGACGTGAGGCAACTACAACTTCACTCCATTGTACAGAAGAAGCATCAGCACAGAGATGAAGCAGCTTTGCCCCAGCTAGAGTGCAAGTCTGAAACGGAGTTGAAAACTGAACCCAGTCATCCAGAGGCCCGAGTCTGTGGCTGAATTACAAGCCCATCTAATGTCATGAGGATTTATACAAGAACTATCACTGTATAAAAAAGAGGAGAAGCACTGTGAAGCACCAGCGTCTTGCTTTATGGTGGTGTTTGCATTAAATGTTCTCTTCCTCATCTGTTTACTCACACCACCTCGCAGACCATCTCATCAATCCGTCTTGCTTCTACAGACCTTGTGGCTGATGTTCCCTGGAAACTCCCTGAGGATTGATTGGGTTGTGTAAGTGATGATGTGCTCCTGAGGATTTTTGACAGCAGAACTTAGGAATTAATACTACGGGGTTTAGTTTTTTCAGTTAAACTGTTATCTGATGCACACCTGAAATGCCACCATCACACTGTAGTGTTTCTTATCATGTGTGGACAGCTGCCTGGCTGCAAATGGATGGAGTGCCCCGTGCTGTAGTCAGGCCACGTTGTGAGTAAGCTCAGTGGGGTCAGAATAAAGTAAAACTCCTAGTAGAGTAATGCTCTAAATGGCATTGGATGAGGGGACACTAGGAGGGGTCTGGTGTTTCTTTCTTAGCTCATTCATTCCTGGCATAGTAACAGCATATCGTGTGCTGGAGGAGGCAGTCACTGGGATGGATAGGAGCTGTGGATTTCCTGGTCTGTTGTTATCTCTCTTGGTAGAGTCTCATAAATCAGGAAGCCTGTACCTCACAGCTGTGGCCAGATTGCAGTCCAGACCCTTGGTGCTCAGTTTTCTATGGTTCGGTTTCACCTCTTGCTCCTGGCTTTAGTAAACTTGTCTTTTGTCTCAATATGTCAGGTTATCATGTTAATCTGGTTGCTGTTTTTCATCACACATGACCACGTTTCCCTGTGAGGTTAGGAACTGTGAAGTGACCTTAAAACCAAGTAGCACATTTGTGCTTCTGAAAGATGGCTTAGTCATTATTATATACTTCTTTTATACCCCTGAAGGGTGCTTGGTCTTTGGAGCGTGGAACAGGCATATGGGGGGAATTTTCATCTGAAAGGCATCGTGCCAAAGTTTAGCAGCAATTATTAAGTGAGGTGATGGGAACATTAAATGCTAATTAACAGTGTAGATTACATTCTGAGATCAGTATTGCATGGACTGGCTACCTGGTGCAGTATCACCATCCTATGTATGTGGAGGTGAACCAGCTGGTTTACATGTTTAATGCTGAAGAAACTCAAAGATACAGGACCTCATGTAGTTCAGCTATGGTATAAATGTAATCTCCAGCAGTGATTGCCTACTGTGTAGAATGGCAATGGTTTCTACCCACTAGAAATGAATTCCAGGAAAGCACGTGACTTATTTTGTTCACCTTACTTTTGCTAATAGAAAGAAACTGAGAGCTTTCATCAGCGGCAGCAAGTTTTGCATTGAGTGAGGATCCTTGTCTCATAACAGATGTACTTATTTGCATGGGAGTGAGCTAATTTCCAATGATGGGCTCAGAATGGGTTCGTGTAATTCAGCTGCTAAATCTGCCATTTCCCGCTGAGAAGTGAAGAGGGAGTTGAAATCATCTATGAAGGGAAGAGACCAGGTACCTGCGAGGAGCTTGGCCAAGTGTGTTCAAGCATCTTGGTCTGGTAGGATAGTTTTGTTCCAATACAATGAAAAGTTACCTCTTAAAGCTTTTTATTGAAAATTCATTCTGAAACTTGACACTTTGTTTAAAAAAAAAAAAAAAAAGTTTTCCAGTGTCTTGGTCTTCAGGTGAGAAAATAGTCTTCCCTTTAACCACCAAGGAAGGATACTGGATGCTAGATTTCTGTAAGGAGTGTGTGACGCTTTTAGTTCACTTAAGAATTGCCATAATTGTGCAGAAGATTAAAACCTGTCAGTTTTGCTATGTTTCAGCCAAAGTGGACTTGCCAGGATTGCAAAACTGTGACTTTTCTTAGTGGCGATGAGACCCACAGGTTAACCTGAAAGGTTAAAGTGCCTTTTCAGGGTAAGTTCACTTAGGTGCAATCTGGTTTGCCTTTTGTCTGTGTAATCAAGGCAGAAGCTTGGTTACACTGGAAACTGGGGTTTCAAAATACAGTAGATCTGAATATCACCTGTTGGAAACACAAAAATAATTTGTGTGGCTCCTGTCTTTTCAGACTGTGGAGGTTATGTCCTGCTTTTCCTCTAGGGTGAGTCGCTGAAATACTTCTGCTCCCTTTTATAGTGGCATCCTGGCAGTCCCTTGCTGGAGAAGCCGCCCAGGAAAGGAAATGCTCTGGCCATAGTGAGAGTGGTGTGGCCAGTGCAGAAGTTTATGTGCTTTGTGGCCAAGTGAGCTTCCTTTTCAGCTTCACTGTCATCTTCCCCTGCTGTTTTCCACTGCCAGTACTTGATGTTTTTTCACATTTAAGGATCAGCATCAGGAATGTCTTAAATTTTATCCAAATTTTAAATAATTTCCAGTTCTTTGTCCCTGTTACTCCATGCGTGGTTCTCAGTGGACATACCTCAAAGGACAAATTGGTTCTTTGAGCAGAACTTAGCAGCTGCACTCTTCAGGGGGAAAAAAAAAAAAAGTGGTGAATTTTCAGGTAACAATAAAGCTGCAAATGCGGTTTGATGCTATTCCTGCCAAAGTAAATGGGACAACCAATGGGGCATCAAAGAGAGTGCTATAAATTCTATCAGGTTGCTTAAGGCAATTAGCCAGGGGTGCTGCTAGCCAGGAACAGATGAGAAAAACAGATGACAGAAACAGAGATTCATTTTATGAGTTTGGCTGGAATTTTAATTGCACTCCTCCCTGTGTTAATTAAGAAAACGAATGTTTAGCACAGGCCAGTGATGACTGGTAGCGTGCTCTGGAGAGGACTCCTGGTGCAGCATCCTGCCCCTGCTGGCAGGGCTTTCAGGAGACAAGAGGTAGCGGTCAGGGAAAGTCTGCACCCAGCGGAGGGCTGGCCACCAATAATCAGGAAACGGGCATTTTGCAGGAGTTTTGGCTTCCCTTTCAAATTCTGAACTTGACTCAATTCTGTGTGACTGAGTCTGGTTTGACACTTCAAGGAGATGGGCTCAGGCCATGTCTGTTGCAAGATGCCACCTCCCTGCCACCCTGCCTGCTGTGCTTATATGCCAGCCCCATTACAGACTGCGATTTTCACGGTAATTGTCGTTTCTAGTGAGCACTGAAATCTGGTAGGGCAGTGAAGTTTAACACACGTAATAGCCTGGGTGTCCTTTTAGATGCTCTCTAGCACCCTCCCTGTGCCACCTCCAGCTCACTGGTGCTATCTCAGAGCTCCTGCACTACCTGGCGATAGATGATCACAGAGCTGATGCTTCCATTTGATTGGGCAGGAGGGTCAAGGACTTCCTCGCTTGAATATCCTGAGGCTGTAAAGCCTGCAAGGGGAATTTTAGTTGTGAAGGCTGCACACGCACATGTCTGTATTGCCAGGCTTGAAGAGTCTGACAGCCTCTTTAGTCAAAGGCTGAACCAAGAGAGGCTGCAGAACAGGAACGCAGGACAGGATAATTCAGGTCGGAAGGGACTTAGGAAAGTCTCCAGTTCAACCTCCTGCTCTAAGCAGGGTCAGCTTTGAGATCAGATCGAGTTACTTGGGTCTTTATCGGATTTGGCCTTGGAAACCTTTTAGGGCAGAGAGTGCAACCTCTCTGGGTCAATCTGTTCATTGATTTTTTGGTTGTAATAAGTTGTCATTTTGTTTATTATTGTTAACTTATTTTGTAGCCTTTAGCGTCATTTTCCATGTCTCTAAGCTTTCTGTCTGTATTGGTAAAAGCAATCTCATGGCTTCTAAGTAAGTTCTGGGGGAAGAGTGGGGATTATCCCATGCTTTTCCAGAATTTGCAAGTGAAACAGCATTGCCGTTCCCGATTTTCCATTTTCTTTAAGTATGTTCCCTCTCCACTTTGTTTAAAACCCCCGCTGTCTTTTCCTGCTCCTTTCTCTTTACATGGTTCCCCACACCATCACACCCACCCCCACCCCCGCATGACAGTGGTAGAGAAGGAAGGACTCTGTTTTCCAAGTACCTTGGGCTGCTGCTAGAACCTTTGTAGTACCTTTAGATATCTCAAACCATTTGATGCTTCTTCTGGTGACCTAGGTATTACCTCGGTTCCTGAAGAACTGAAGGGTGGGGGTGATGAGATGAGAACAGGATCCAGATCTCCTGTTTCTAGGTACTGCAGTAAGCTTTTAATGACAATTTGTATTCATATAATGCATTTCAAATGTTGAACATTGGATGGTGAAATGCCTGGTTTACATCAGTCTTGAGGTAGACATCATGTCCTTGCGGCAGGTTGTTCCACTATGTGATAATAATGGTGCGAGCATTGCAATGGAAGTGTTAGTTTGTGGTGGAACAGTGTGTTAGCTCTGGCATGTGGTGTGATACGTTTGTTAATATTGTCTCAGGGTTGTTTTGTTGACAAGGAGCCTTGTTTCATTTTGGCTACATCATGCCTGTCTCAGGCCTTTCCCTTTTTAACCTACTCACTCTGTGTAAGTTGCATTAAGGAAATAATAAATGGCAACGGGCTTTCCCGGGCTGCAATTAGCTGTTGACCTTAGACCTGCCATAAGGTAGATCTACAAAAAGCCCCCGCTGATTTTCCTGGTGGGCTTGAGGAAGCCTCTGGGTAGCTTTTTGTGAGTTAATGTTCGGAGGAGGAGTGGCAGGGATGGTGTGAATATTACGTGTTTTGCTACATGAGCTGATGATTGCTTGAATGAGTGGACTTCCTGATTTAGAGGTAAAGAATGAATGGTCTCTCCTCATAGTTTCAATTTTATTATAAAAGGTACTTTAGCAGCTCGGTGGTATCTGCAGCCCTACGCAAGTGCTGCCTAGATGATTGTTTCCACTGCTTGAGAAAAAGTCCATCTGACGCACCAATGGGAAGTCGACACTTTCAGTTCATTAAAGCGAGCATCTGAGTGTATGTATTCAGCTGAGAATGTTTCAGCCTCTAAGAAGGGTCTGAAAAAGGCTTGAACTTTAAAAGCTTCCATTGTCTGAAGGCACAGGCTGTTCCAACTCAGCTCCCTTCTGCCGTAGCACTGGGACTAAGTGTGTAGTTGCTATTTGACTTGTGCAGCAGCCTTGCTTTGTTGCTTGACCTTGCTTTATTTAAAAATCGTAATTAAAACTGCTGCTTTCTGTGTTTGCAAGATAACTAATTCGGAACACGTAAAGGAAGTTGTCTGGCTGATGGTTCAGTGAAGGGGCCTTTAGAGAGAGCTGATGATATACTCATGTTTTACTCATTTTCCTAATATCTGTCTGGTTTGTTCTCTTTGCAGAGCTCATAGTTGGTATTATAGTATAAACTAATAATGTCAGTATTTGCAGACTAGCTCCTTCAAGTTGGTTATTACTGTGATCCATGTAGTTCTGGAAAGTGGCCCTGCAGGGGCCTTTTTTCCCAACCATTTTCTAATGGTTGCTTTGACATTATATCAAAATACTGCCACTTGACAATGCAGCAGGATACTGTGACCTCTGGGAAAGGTTTCTTAATACATTAGAAGTTGCATCCTACAGACCAGACTTAACGGGAGCTCAAATACTCTTGGAGAAGTTAACAAACACAAACAGCAGGATAGTGCATCTTTCACATGGAAGCCTTTTCCATCCTCTCATGATTTAACCCCCGCCGGCAACTCAGCACCACCCAGCCGCTCACTCACTCCTCCCTGGTGGGATGGGGGAGAGAATCAGAAGAGTAAAAGTGAGAAAACCCACAGGCTGAGATAAAGACAGTTTTAATGGGTAAAGCAAAAGCTGCGCACACAAACAAAGCAAAACAAGGAATTCATTCACCACTTCCCATGGGCAGGCAGGTGCTCAGCCATCCCCAGGACAGCAGGGCTCCATCACGTGGAACGGTGACTTGGGAAGACAAACGCCAGCACTCTGAATGTCCCCCCCTTCCTTCCTATTCCCGCAGCTTTACATGCTGAGCACAATGTCATAGGGATATCCCTTGGGTCAGTTGGGGTCAGCTGTCCCAGCTGTGTCCCCTCCCAGTGTCTTGTGCCCCACAGCTTCCTGGCTGGTGGGGTGGGGTGAGGAGCAGAAAAGGCCTTGGGTCCTGCTCAGCAGTAACGAAAGCTTCCCTGGGTTATCAACCCTGTTTCCAGCACAAATCCAAACCACAGCCCCATACCAGGTACTGTGAAGGAAATTAACTCTACCCCAGCCAAAACCAGCACACATGTTAAATGAGTTTACTGTACTGCTGGAGCGGTACGTGCTTGCTCTAAGGGCTTGAAGGCTTTTTAATATGTGTATTACAGGATTAAATATTCAGCCACCAAATCTCTGGTGTCAACCCCTTGGTAACAGGGGGAAGCAATGATGCTAACAGCTTTTCTGATACGCTTTAGAGGGCAGCATTATGGCCCCATCTTGTTCTCACCTGAGGTATTGGTGTCTGAAAACAACTCTGGGGATGTCAGTATCTACCAATGTAGTGTGTATGGGTAAGAACCATTAGTGAACTTTAAAAGGCCACTTCTAGTATGCATTGTTGTATTATGTCTTCTGGTTTTAAACAGTTTTTCAGCTTTGTCACAGCTGTGGTTAAGAT